CTCTGCCCGCCCCGCCAGGCTCCGGGTGGGCCCTAGGCGTCACCTCGCCCAGGGCGCCGTCGGCACCTCTCTTCTCCACGCCCTGTGCCGTGCACTAAGCACGCACCAGCTGACATGTCCGCAACAAGTAACAAGACCATCAGTGCAAATCAGGCCACAGGCCTCCATGCAGAAGCGCTTCCCACGCGTTCGCTCCTGTGCCCACATGGGATGCAGAATCTTGCGGCTCCCAGGCCCAACCGGGCAGGTCCCAGATGGGCACGGGTCATGTTCCCAAAAGGTCAGAAGTCACCTTTGGGGAACTCGGAATGCATCTCCTTATACAGACAACATTTTACATCAGCATTTCCCAAACTGGCCCTAATAGGTGCTCCTCGAGAAAGGTCTTGTGTGGTCAGGAGATTTGTAGCCAGGCCCACTGGGCCAGTCCAGCATATCAACAAATAACGTCCCCTCCCTCACCGAGATGTAGTAAATTAACTTTTATAGTTTTGTTTAATCTAGTATTTCCTTGAATTTATTCGACTTTAGAGGCCTTTTCTCCTGTAAAAAGGACTTAGATCCTGCAAAATATATGAAAGCTTGGCGAGATACCGAGGCCTTCCCATGAACGTGCCCGTTGTGTACTGGTCCCCAAATGGCCATTAGGTATAAGACAGATGCACAGCCACCCCGGAGTGAAGTAGAAGCCGTCTTCTCAGTTAACTGTTCGTGGTACCTCGGGGCTGCCTTGGGACTTCTCTCCAAGAAAGAGAGCCCTTCCTCACTTTCCCTACCTGGTGGCTCTTTTTCCCTCTTTCCCTCTGCCCCAGATGCTGCCTCCATCATCTCTTACTTTCTCTCCTCTCCTTCCTGCTTTGCTCAAGTTTGCTCTGCAGCCGAACAAGCACAACAATTGGTCAGCTGGGCCCAGAGCAACAAAACCAACCTCTGTATAAATATAGATACCAGAATAAATAGGGAGAATTTCAGCTGATCCATAGTCGGAGATTCGCCTCCAGCCATGTTTCCACCAGCTCCCCCTCAGCCCCTCCTGGCCTGTCCCCACCTCCACTGACCTGTATGTCTAATCCCTAAAGTCAAGTCCTCAGTAAACCAGAGCAGTTTTCAAATATGTGAATTGTGTGTTGATACTGCTTTCCCCAGAATAAGGAAGGTGGCTGGACAAAAGCTGTCCCTGCCAGGACAAGGTAGCCTGACTATGGGGGACATACTGCCCCTCATTCCTCTTATCATCCACCTCAGCTCAAAGGAGGGAGGGGAAAGAAGATAAAAAGGGCTGGAGGAGCTGTCTAGGGCACAGGTGTAGAGGCAGGCAGAACCACTGTGTGCGGGGAGCAGGGAGGAAGTTCTGGAGGAGGGCAGAAGCCCAGCCTTCCGGGAAGAGTTCAGAGCTCCCCGGAAGCCCAAGAGTTGAGAAGGAGTCCAGGGTCCAGGGAACTTTTCTTCCCTTGAACTGTTATTAACTGGCTAGCAGTCAGAGCAGGGTCTCTCCCCTGCAGACTGGAGGCCCCTGTGGCAGGGCTCTGGGCACTGTCACCCAAGTTCATGCTTCTAGGACCATCTTCCTTCTTCAGAGCTACCTCTCCTGCCCTCTTCCTACCCTCAGAAGGTTTCTTCTCCCAGGCCCTGTGGGAAGACCCGCAGGTAGAATCCCCCCATGGTATCCCCCCAGCCCTCCTTCCGACATAGGAACTTTTCTGCTTGACATGCCCTCATGAAGGTCTCTGGAAGATTCTGCTCATAAATTTACATGTATGCTTATAAAGAGTGAATGTGGCCTTTGAGGAGTTCTCTTTAACATAGCGCCACTTTCACAGCAAAAATAGCACTTTAAGAACAAAGGGGACCTAGCACTTTCTGAGAGTCTGCCCTGGGTAAGCCCCCTAACAGCATCCCTGGGGCAATGATTCAAATCCCCTTTTTACAGAGGAAGCCAGTGAGGCTCACAGGGCTAAATGACTTGCCCATGAGGGAATGCTGAAGTTAGGTCTCACTTTATTTTATTTTTGTTTATGTATTTATTTTGTTATTTATTTTTGAGACGGAGTATTGCTGTGTCGCTAGGTTGGAGTGCAGTGGTGTGATCTCGGCTCACTGTAACCTCCCTTCCTGAGTTCAAGCAATTCTCCTGCCTCCACCTCCCGAGTAGGTGGGACTTCAGGCGCCCGCCATCATGCCCAGCTAATTTTTGTATTTTTAGTAGAGATGGAGTTTCACCATGTTGGCCAGGCTGGTTTTGAACTCCTGTCCTCAAGTGATCTGCCCGCCTCGGCCTCCCAAAGTGCTGGTATTATAGGCATGAGCCACTGCGCCCAGCCTAGGTCTCACTTTAAAGGCCTCTGTGATATTGGCAGAAAGCTCAGCTGCCTGGTGAGAGAGAGAACCCAAGTGGCTTAACCAGGAACAGCTGGGCTGGACCAGCAGCTCAGGAGTCTGTCGTTTTTTCAGGGCTGGTATGCTTGACATCAGAAATTTGTTCAAGAGAGGAGAGTTAGATTAGAGGTATACAAGGAATGTTTCTTTAAAAAGCAGGAAGAAAAAAATGTAGTCCTGGCTAATTTAAGTGGGCTAACAGCTTGAAGAGGATAGTGCTTAGAGTAGACTGCGAGGAAATGCCTTTGGAAAGCCAGGCTGCACCCACACCCGGGACAGTGCAAATGAGCCAAGTCTGGCTATGGCTGGAGACTAAACCTGTTCCAGCAGAGGCGCCCAGAGCTTCCTGGGCTCTCAGCAGTGCTCTTCTCATTTATGTAACATTTGGGACTTACTTAAAGAGCAGATGCAACTGATTTCCAGCTTGTTGTTTTTACATATATAATTGTAATTCCTAAGGAGAAATACCAAAGAGCGGAGGCCCGCAACCCTGTCTTTTGCTTTTGCTTTGTTTTTCCACACCCGGAGAGAAATGAGCTGCTGGGGCAACTCCATGCCATTGAAAGACCACAAGTTCCCTGTGGCAGCTCCAGAGGGGAAGGGACAATGGTGCAAAGATCTTGACTACTTTGGGGAATGTGTTCTGAATCCTCAAGCCTTTCATGATTCCAGAAAGCTGGACTCCAGAGTGGAAACTCCTTAGCCTGTGCTTCCTGATGCTGCACTCCTGTCTCCTCTCCCCTCCACCACCCCCAAGCTGTGACCTGGGTTCCCTGGCAACACAGCCTCCTACTCTCTCCTCCCAGCCCCAGAATCTGGGGGTCACCCTAGAGATACTGAGTTTCTGGCAGACTCGGCTCTGGTTCCATATGTGGCTCTCTGGGGACTGGACTCTTCAGTCCTCATGACTTATGAAAGGGTCTGGCCCAGAAGGAAGGGCTGATGGAGAAGGATGAGGAGGTCGGAGGGCAACAAGGAGGAGTGGAGGAGAGAGGGTGAAATGAAATTCCAGGAGGAGGTCTGACACTTCCTAGATAGGGTTGCCAGACTTAGCAAATAAAAACACGGGATGCCAGTTACATTTAAGCTTCAGATCAACAATAAATACTTTTTTACTGTAAGTACATACTTATACTAAAAATGGATACTTTGTCTATCTGAAATTCAAATTTAACTGGCTATCCTATATTTTATCTGACAGCCATACTTCTGGATGCTTCCAAGTTTTCCCTCTCCCATCTAACAGCATGCCCTGGGCACATTTCCGGCAAACTGTATTTTATTACTCTCAGCTCAAGGATCTCCCACCGTTTCCACTGCCTACTACACCCCACGAAGCATCCCCATCTGCGTAGTGGAAACCCCCCAGCACAGACAGCGCACCCCCGTGCCTGGTCTCCCTCTCACTGTCCTCTGGCTCCTCTCACCCCAGCCCCATGCCTTCCTCATCCAATTCTCCCCACCTGGAGTTCCCTCCCTTTCTTTTTGTGTATTTATATCCATCTGCCTTTCTTGTCGCTTCATTATTAGGTGCCTCGCAGATTTCACTGCTGTAAACATAATTTTCATCTAAGCTCAGTGCTTAGGCTTCCTGAGGGCAGGGACCAGTCTCCTCTTCCTGACTCCTCAACAATACCCACCTCTGGTGGCCTGAGGCAGGTGAGTGGGGAGGGCAGGAGGGAAGCAAAAAGCAGGGTAGACAGAGAAGGAGTTGGGGCAGGACAGAAAGCTGGAGAGAGGAGGCCAAGGGGCGGCCAGGAGAGGGGCCTGGCTAGGTGATTGCCCTGTCCAGGTGTCACACTCTGCTTTAGCCTCGGGGCTCAGGCCAGGCCACTCTCACCATGAGAGGAGAGGGGCTACTGGGGGAATGGGTGTGGCTGGGCTCTGCCTGCTGCCCCTCCTACCCCTGCTCAAAGCGGCCCCTTTCCCTTCTCAGTCGGTTGGAATTTGGCTGGAAGAGGAAACCCATTTCTTGGACTGGGAGTGGGAGATGGGGAGCCAGGTGGGGTGGGTAGGGAAAGCCAAGAAGCAAAAGGAGTAGTGGGAGAGAGAAGGGTGAGATGAGGCTGGCAAGGGCCATGGAGCAGCTGGGGCGGGGGCAATGTGAAGGAGCAGGTTAAAAGCAGTCGGACACCAGTAGGTTGGTGTGAGCACCGCCCTGTCCTAGGTGAAGCTAATTGGTTTGTTATCTTTACCCACCAAAGCATTTACTTTGGTTAGTCGCCCGATCCACAAACACTTTCGAGGAGATGACATTACCGAAAGGGAGGAACATCTGCATCAGCTCAGCGTCCCCAAACTCCTGGGGCAGATGGTAGATGAACAGGTTACAGCCCTCGGGCCCTGCGGTGAGGGGAGGGGGTGGGCCTGTCTCTTATACACATCTAGATGTGTATAAGAGACAGTGAGCGAGTTAGGCAGCACAGCAGGGAGGGGTGGGGGCAAGGTTAGGAGGGGGGGTCTCATTCCAGATCCAAGGGAGCCCCAGAAGAGGCAGGGATGCTGAGCCCCAGGTCTGAGCTCCGGTCTCTGCTCTGCCCTTGGGCAAGTCACTGAACCTCTCTGTGCCTTGGTTGCCTTTTCTATAAAATGGGTCTGTAGCAGAGTCTTGGAAACCCTAGGTCTCCAGGGCGGACTCGACCTACTGCTGTGTCTCTGGAAACCAGGTGCTGAGGATAGGGAAGGCCAGGGAGACCCGGGAGGCCTCCCTCCTGCCCAGCCCCTGCTCTGGTGGGGACCAGGGTATCCCCTGGGGCAGCTGTGTCCTGTGCTGGGGAGACACCCCACTTTCCCCTCTCTCAGGCCAAGCTCAGACTCTAGGACTTGGGTGCCCATCCTCCCCCTGGCCTGCAGCCTCTCCTTCTCATCTGCCCCTCATGGCCCAACTGTCCTGCCCAGTTCCTCACACCCAGGAAACCAAGATTTATCCTGCCTCCTCCTGTATAGGTGCGTAGGAAGGGCTGCAACCGAGGCTCTATGATTAGCCAGGGAACCCTCCAGCCTCATGACATGAATGTTCTTCATTTCGTTACCACAGTAACAGCCCTGTGACTTCGGCAGCACAAACTATGTGTCAGGCTGTTCTGAGCACTTTACATGTACCTAACTCACTTAATCCTTACAGCAACCCTGTGATGTGATTATCATCATTGCCACTTCACAGATGAGGAAGTCAGGCCCAGAGAGGTTAAGTCACCTGCCAAAACACACACAGCTGGGAGGGGCCTGGAGCCAGGACATGAGCCCAGCCTCTCTGTCTCCATAGTGTGAGTTTTCTCCCTCTTGCGACCAAAAAATCTCAATACCCCAGACTCCCTGAACACTAAGCAGGGCTTTAGCTTTCTAAAATTCCCAATAACTATTTACCTGTTTCTTTTGAAATAGTCAAAACACTCAATTTTAACTCTTTGAAATGGAAATCGTTCCAAGATGTGTCTTAGATGGCATATGCCACATATAATTTCATCTTTTAAAGTGACCTGTGGTCATTTCAATGATGGCATCCAAGCTGTGGTGGAATGGGAAGGAACCAGCTGCACCTAGCGTCGTGTAAGAAGCAAGGTTCTGAGCAGAGGCTGCTGGAAACCTAGGCGTGAGCTGAACAGTGAAGGCTGTAAGGCACCGACATGGGCTGCTGCGTGGCTTTCGCAGCCAGAGCCAGCCGTCCTTGTTCTCCAGGAGCAGTGAGGCTGCCAGATAACCCAGTTCTGGAGCAAAGACTCGATGTGGAGACTCTGCGCCTTCTCTTCTGCTCCTCTACCTTCCACTCTCCTCCTTTTCTCCATCTATTTCTACTCCCTCGAGGTTCACAGCCTAGAACAAAAATGTCCCCAACCCCTAAAGCTGCCCAAGGAGCCACTGGCCTCCTCCCTCCTTGCTGCTCGCCCTGCACCCTCTGCCCACCCAGCCCTCCGGCCTCCCCTCCCTGGACTGCTGGCTCCCAGGCATCCTGCCAGGGGACGGCGCATTCAGAACCAGGCACAAACGTGCTCCCTCACCCCCTTCCAGGGGTTCCTGGTGCTGGATACCCCTGAGCTCTGGTGGCCCTCCCCTCACCCTGTCCCCTCCAACCATGCTGTCTTCCCACTGGCTCATGCCCTGTGAATGTGCCCTTGATGGCCCCCAGCTCCCCATACCCTCCCTCTCTGAAAGAACCTCCGGCCTCTCCCTGCTCGTGCCCAAATCCACACTCCATCTTCTGGGGTGGGGCTCTTTGTCGTTTATGTCTGGAGGTGTTTCTCTCCAACCAGACTGGCTGCTCCCAGGGGCATGCTCCTTCTTGCATCCTCCTGCCCAGCCCCCTCCAACCCCGCACACACCTTCCTTCCTCCTCCCATCCTCACTCTTCCAGGCCCTGACTGCTCCACCCCAGGCTGACACCTGCCTTGACTTGGGGCCTTGGCTCTGAGTTCAAGTTCTGCAAGCTGCTTTATGTGGAAGTTAATCTATTCTCCTTAGAGATAAGGAGCCTTCACAGACAGGGCCCACAGGCTCAGTCCCATGTGCACGGTGTGTGGTGGAGCCCCAGGGATGACCCTCTAGCCCAGGCCTGACAAAGAAGCCAGGGCAGCAGCTCCAGTCCCTTCCCCTGGACAGTGAGTCCACACGCTGTCTAACTCCAGCTACCTCCAAGCCCGTCTGCACTCCCTCATTCACAGATGACAGAACATGCAGATGGTAGAGCTGGCAGGACTTTAGAGACCAATCTGGTCCAGGCTAGCCTTCTGAGAAATAGTGAAGCGGAGCTACAGAGACAGAAAGCAGCTACCCCTGACCATCCTGCAGCCCTGGCAGAGCCACTGCGGCAGCCATCCCTGAGGGTAACCTCGTCCAATCTGTGGGGCAGATAGCCTCTGGGGAATTCAGGCATCTGTCCATTTTCAGGCTTAGCTCAAAGATGAGGAGGTGGCAGAAGGGTCCTCCCCTGCCACCAGAATATCCTGATATTTCCGTGACTTTCCTCATGGGGAGGGGACCATGATATAAAAAGGCCAACTCTTGGCAGGGCTGGAGGAACACAGCCTTGTTTCTTGTCCATGACTTGGACAACTCTGTGGGACACGGGTTTGGCCAGGCTCCAGCCCACCTTGCCCCTGTCTCTCCCTGGCCCCATGCTCACCTTGGACTCTGCAGCAGCTGTACTTTTGCTCCCGCTGTTCCCCCTGCCTGGACCACCTGCCTCCCCAGTTCTATGTGCTGCCAACCTCTGCTCATCCTTCCAGACCCACAGAAGCCTTCCTAACAAACCACTCTCAGTGCCATGCCCTCACCCACCCATGCTGTGCGGCTCTGTTGGTGTGTTCCTCTTCCCCATCCCTTGCTTCCCTGGGGTGGCTCAACCCATGCACCATGGCCTGGGAGAATAGGGACAATGGCAGCAGATCCCACCACTCCAAGGAGAGGCTGGAGACAGGATTGGCCACAGAGAGCCTAGACTAGGGAGCAGGGTATGGTGGGGCAGGAACTGCAGCTGCTCAGAGATGGAGAGAAGGAATGAGGAGTTCAGAGCTACACGCACAGGATGGTGCAGAGTGTAGGGTGGGAGAGGGGCAGGACGGCCCATGGGAGCCTGAGTTTAAGGCCTGCAGTAGGGGCTGTCATGTGTGTTGGGCAGGGTGGCATTGACCTGTAGCTGTGTGAGGGGTGGGGCAGGATTCAGAGACCCCTGAGGCAACAGGCCAGAGTGATTCAGGGAGCTGACAATGGCCTGAAACCAGCGGGAGAAAAAATATCAGGGCCTGTGGGCACAGCTCTGTGTTCTGGACCTGGAGCGGTCGACATGGGGACTCCTGGATCCCACCCCTTGTGGCCCCGGTCTGACTGATGAAGGCTTGGACTGTGGGGAAGGCAAGGGCAGGGTAGGCCCAGGGTTGCAGCCCAATGAGGGGACCACCCCCACCCCCACTTCACCAGTGGTAGCCCCGTGTCCCTCAGCTGCAGCAGCGTGCGGCACGGTACAGACTGGGCCTTCCTGTGCACCCCTCTGGGTCCTGTAACTTGGCTCTCCTGGGCACGGGAAGCCCTGATGCCCCCGACCTCAGAAGTTGCCTGCCGGGTGTGAGCTGGGGCGGTATGCCTCATGCACAGCCTTGGAAGAGGTGGTAGCTTGGTAAAGAAAGGGCGCTGTGCACGGGCACTTGCAGAATGGAGTTTGGGGGCAGACTCAGCCGGCTTGGTCCTCACACCCCTCCACAGAACGCTCCCCGCTCTACTCACTTTGCTGTGAGGACACTGAGGCTGAGGGGATAGAGTGATTTGTTCAGAGTCACAGGGGAAGGAGGTGCCAGAGTCCCACCCAAAAGGGTTTTCTCTGAAGGCCAGGCTCTCAGCCAGGCAGGCTGCGGCACCTGTTTGGGGTCTGAGGGACCTGTCTGGCACTGGGGCCTGTCAAATGATGTTGGACCAGCAGACGCTTGAGGCCCTTTCCAGGACTAATCTACGTTGGAGGGCTCCAGGGCACTGTGTGCAGGGGCTGTGAGTCAGGCTTTTGGAAGCCACCGGAATGCTCTGACCACAGGGGGCTGCCAGGGGCAGATTTGGTGCCTCACTACCCAGTGACCGTTTCCATAGGGGTGGAGAGGACGGGACCTTGTTAGTGTCCCGCCCCTCAAGCTGAGCTCTCTGTGCAGGCCCACAGAGCCCCAGAGGGTGGGCCTGTTCATCCAGCCTCCTGTCTTCCTGCTTATGTGGATCCCTAGGCACTGGGACGGGAAGACACAGACTGGCAATTCTGTGGTCCCTGGCAACTGACCCAAAGATCTTGCTGTCCTGCCCTGTTCACACCAGGGCCTTTGGACACAGCTTTCCAGGATCACCCCCTTCTTTCACTAGGCCTGCACTAGGGCATTGTCATCTCTTCTCATCCTGCCCACGCAGTCCTGCCCTGGGAGCTCCACCTGCTTCTCCTGGTCACTCAGAGGGCACAGCTTCTGTGGGTAATGAACTCATCTCCCTCTCCCATTCCCCTCAGCCATGAGCCCTCCTACTTCTCCCCACCCTCACCACTGGCCAAATCCTGCCCACCAGAGGAGGGGGATTCTTGGACCCCACCTCCTCTGGGGCTTCCCTTCCTGACCCTCTCAGCCTGGTTACCATCTTTTCCTCAATGTGCGCAGCTGTCAGAGCTGGCTCTGCAAACCACCATGTTGCTGGAGTCTCATCTCCCAGCTATGCTCCCTGGGAACACAGTGGTGGGCCCTCCAGTGAAAACCCCCAAGGATGGGCCTCTATCTCCTCTGGAAGATCAGAAACTCCCTGGGTCAGGGACAAGGCCTCCACTGGCACACACAGGCCTAACCTCTGCTAGGTTCTGTTCAAGGGATGGTTCAAGGGCTTGCCAAGGAAGAAGCACAAACCCAACCATTCAGAAGCGGTTCTCATAAACCAAGGTTTCAATATGTGAGCTCTGTGTCAGGCCAGCAGCAATGATTGAGGGGAGTAGGAAAGGCGCCTTGTGTGGGACCTGCCAGCACTCAGGGCATTCTGTTCAGTCCCCTGTCCTAGGCCGGACACCGCTCTGGTGTACAGAGCTGCCCACAAGAAGTGGACCTCTACCCTTCAGTTGGAGAGCGCCACTCCTCACAGCCTTGCTGTCTTCCCTTGCCCACCTCAACACAGCACACAAGCGTGGTCACCTTTCCAACACACACCCCAGCCCAAGGCCCAGGTGAGCAGCCTCTTTGGGGACAACTGGGGTAGGGAGGGGCCCAGGAGCTGGCCTGCAGACTCACCTTCTCTCTGCTGCTGGGGGATCATTGGAGGCGGCTGAGGAAAGGCCTGGCTTATCTGACCATAGGCAGCAGGGTAGGCGGCTGCTGGAGGCCCAAGACAAGAAGCAAGAGCCGGCGACAAGGCAGAGAGTGGAAGCAGGAAGAAAGAGAAAGATTTCAGTGCAGGCAGTAAAAGCAGATCAGCCAAAAAGCGCCCTGCCACTCGGCCACTTAGGACAAAGCCAGCTTTCAGTTCCCGGACTAACAGAGAAGTTGCAAGGTGAAGAGTGGAAATGCGTGTGTGGGTGTGTGTACGTATGTGTGCACATGTGTGTACATTACATGCATACATGCATGTACATGTGGGTATGTGTATGTGTGTGCGTGTGTGTACATTACATGTGTACATGCATGTGTGTGGGTGTACGTGTGTGTGTACATTACATGCATACATGCATGTGGGGGTGTATGTGTGTGTGAGTATGTTACATGCACACATACATGTATGTGTACGTGTGTGTATGTTACAAGTGTGCATGCACGTGTGTCGGTGTGTGTATGTGTGTGTATATGTGTATATGTGGGTGTGTGCACGTGTGTACATGGTGTTAGTGCACGTGTGCATACATTACATGCATACATGCATGCGTGTACGTGTGTGCACGTGTGTGCATTACATGTGAACATACGTGTTTGTGTGTGTTTCAGGGGAGGCAAGTTGAATTTGAAATAGTGGATAAACCACATGTGTGCATAACACACAATCATGGATAATTAAAAACACCAAAATGGCCTGGGCAAGATCACCCCATGCCACCTAGAATCCACAGGAAGGTTTTCCCACTTCTCTGAGCCACAGCTGACTCCTGCTGGCAGGCCCTCACTCCCACTCAAATGGCACCTGTGTGGGAGGTGGGCGGCCACCTGAGGTGTGGACTTGGCCTCTGGGAAGCCTGCCAGGGGGTAGTCCCCAGGAGCAGAGAACTGAGTTGGATAAACCTGATTGTCCAACCGGAAAGGGCCCGAGGCAGGACAGGAGTGGCCAGCTCCCTCCTCTGCCTGGCTTGGCTCCCATAGCAGCAGAGCCTGAAGTCAGAGCTCAGGGGACCCAGGAGGTGACAGCACCTCCTCTGGGCTCCAGATGTGCCAGGCCAGCTTCACCTCAGTTCCCTCACCCCTTGCCAGGCAGCCCCACTGCACTCATGGGAGACAGCACTGGCTCTTCTAAGCACAGGGAAGAGAGACCCTGATCAGGTCAGGCAGTAGGACACGGGCTAGGCAGGGACGATGATGGGGTGCTGTGTCGTCCAGGGGTGAGAGAAAGAGAGAAGCCTGGCTGACAGCTTGGCTTGTGCTCAGTGACCCCAGGCCCTCTGCTCACTCAAGGCTATCCCTTCCCACCTCTCTTCCTCTGCTCCCTGTTACACCTGCTGGGACCCCATCCTGCTGCCTGTGTGTCAGGAAGGGGATGGGGAAACAGCATCTCTTCTAGAGGCCCTCCTTCTCTCAAATCAGGCATCTGTGCTTCCCGGGCCAGTGACTGTGACCTGTGGTGGGCACACCCAGGTCCAGCCTCACCTGTGGTGCTGCTGTCAAACCTGGTGCTCCTGGGCAAACCGGCCCTGGAAACTCCTTGGGGAAGGGAAATCTGGCCTCAAAGACAAGTAACTGCCCAGCAAGGGCAAAACTTCCACCTGGCCTGGCCACTCGCCTGAAGTTCTGCCCATCCCCACTGCAGGGGCACTCTAGGTGGCCCGCTGACAAGAAGGCAGCCTGGAGGATCTCTGGCAGCACAGCCCTCCCTCTTTCCACTCTCTCTCCCCACCCCATGCAGTGCTGGCCCCAGGTCTGAGGGGGCACTGGTGTCACAGGCGTGGAGAGATAAACGGAGTTGGGGAAGGAGCCGTGGGGACGCGTGGATACTAACGACCTGCATACTGCTGCACTCCGGCGTAGGCCTGCTGCAGGGGGTCCGCGGCGGTGGGGCTCTGCGCTGTAGGGAGCCAAGGGGACAGAGGTCAGCAGTGCCCACCACACTGGCCCTTCCCCCTATGCCCATGAGGACAATGATGTAGCTGCACCGCCTTTTCTGGCTACTGCAGGCTCTGCCCTGGGGCATGGCATCTGAGACAGAAACCCTGAGTGCCTGGACCCTCTGGGGGTCACCTTCCCTAGCATCCTTGGCAGGGTAGACAGTTGCCCACCCTGGCTGGGGGATGCAGGCTGCAGTTGGCCTAGGGTTGGGGTAAGATGGGGGCTCATGCAGAGCACTGTGGAGGGTTGGGGAGGAGATGCCAAGGAAGCCTCAACACTGAGATGCTGGCTGGGGGGACACACAAGGGGCCCAGCCCTGCATAAGGGCTGTGGGGAAAGGGAGAGGGGGCTGGCAGCCCCTAAAGGGTGAAAGAAAGGGTAAGAAGGCCTCATACTACTGCTTTGTCCTCCTGGGCCACTGTGCCTGCTCACAAAGAGGGACCCGCCCTCACTGTCAGGGAAGCTGCACCAGGCATGGAGGTCTTCCACCCCTAGCCCATGGCCAAGCTCCTCTCAGCAGGGACCAGCTACGCAAATGGGGTCTTCCCAGTAGCCTGAGAGAGGGGTGCTGCCCACAGAACCGAGGAACCAGAAGACCAAGGACCTTCCTCCTATCTTCCAACACTGTGACCCTGGGATGTCCCCCGCCCAGTGGGAAGAGAGGTCCCCTGAACCAATACTTTGGCAAGAAACTCAGGGAAGCTGGGCTGAGGGAAAGGCCTGGTTCCCTTCTGTTGCCTTTGCTGTCTCTGCAGAAGCTGTGGGCAAAAGCCTGAAGCATGGGCCAGCAGTAGGCACTGGTTTTGGTGACCAAGGCTGGTAGTGACTAATGTGGGAGTGGGCTGGCCTTGGAAGCCCAGAGACATGGTAGAGGCAGGGACTGCCCAGAGGGAGGATGGAGCCCTAGGATGCTTGAGGGAAAACCAGGTAACATGCAGTGGCAGGAAGAAACTACCTGGGCTTATCCACCTGTCAACTCAGGCCAGCTAAGCTAACTGGCTGTGCCAGGCTTTGGGATCTTTAGTCTAGGAAGAGTGCCCCAACTTCCCTTCTAAGCATGTTTCCCTGAGTATCTCAGTAAACCTCCATTAGAAAAAGAGCACCTGGGCTGGGCACAGTGGCTCATGCCTGTAATCCCAACACTTTGGGAGGCCGAGGTGGGTGGATCACCTGAGGTCAGGAGTTTGAGACAAGCCTGGCCAACATAGTGAAACCCTGTCTCTACTAAAAATACAAAAAAATTAGCGGGCATGGTGGTGGCTGCCAGTAATCCCAGCTACTCAGGAGACTGAGGCAGGAGAATCGCTTGAACCTGAGAAGTGGAGGTTGCCGTGAACTGAGATCATGCCATTGCACTCCAGCCTGGGCAACAAAAGCAAAACTCCGTCTCAATAAAAAGAAAAGAAAGAAAGAAAGAAAAAGAGCACCTGGGCCTGAAGGGTGTCCAGGGAAAAGCCTGGGGCAGAGGTCCCTAGAGACAACTGGACAGTAGGTTCCATAGCCCCCAGGAGCAGGATGTGGCAGGGCAGTCCGACCCACGAGGGCTCTGCTCAGATGTGGGGAGCTGAAGATTAGCCACAATGCAGCCTCCTTCCTGCCTGGGGATGTCCCAGTCCCACACCCTGTTCCTCTATTTCTCCCATGGTAGAGGCTGGAACTGAGGGCTCCTCAGTGGGGTGTGCTTGGCAGGGTGGTCTCCTCTCTGCCTTCCCTCTGCCCCTATCCTCTGCCAGCCTCTAAGCTCTATGGAGAGAGAACCATGTCCAGATTGTGCTCTTGGTCTTTCCAGCTATTCACCCATGCAGTGTGTTTGTGCAAATTAGAAAAGGGTGCCCCTTCCTCTGGGCACACAGCTTGGTGCCCTTATGCAAAATATAACCTGCACGATTTGCATGGCAGTCTCCAGCACAGTGCCAGGAACATCATAAGCATCTGACAAATAGTATGATGAAAAGAATGAATGAACAATCTTTAATGTTTGCAAGAGCCACCCCTTCAAGGGTGTTTATGTGACAGTAAAGGCCACACTGTGTGCATCCAGCAAGAACCCAAGAGGGGAGATTAGAAAAGCTACCTGGGGCTAGGAAGCAGAGAAAAGCATTTATGAGACCCTCTCTACTTCTCTGACTAACGACCTCATTAGTAACTGCCAAAGAGTGAACATTTTGAAGGATCTCGCTCATTACAGTGGGTCCAAACTCTGCATTTAAAGATGGTAAATTAATTTTTTTAATGTACTACTTTTTTCCTTTCTTTCCCTCCATCCCTCCCTCCCTCTTGCTCTGGCAGGGAATTGTTTATGAGATGTGGCAGATTGTTACAAATGGGGGAAGAAACGTTTCCAAATTCCATGAGGGAAATAGCTCACAGATGCTGGAGGGGGTTGGGAAGGAGCAGGTTTATCAGGATCCAGAGATCCAGATGGGCTTGTGGGCAGGAAGGGGTGGGAAACGAAGACACCCAGATGTGCTGGGGATGCCACCTCCCAGCCCATGAGCCTGAAACTGGTGGGGTCTCTTCCACCCCCAGCTTGCCCAGCTCCATCCTGCCTCCCTACCAGCTTGGGGTCATCATCTTTAAACAACACTCCAGATCGTTAGAGCCTCATCACTTCACTCTCTAGACTACTCTGGCCTCTTCTTGGTGCACTGAGGAGTAGATTATGGGGCAAACTCTGGAATGGGGAATGGGATCAAGGACAACTCCAAGTTCAAAGTCAGGAAACTCTCCTCTATTTCCCTCTAGTACACTGACCTTGCACTCTGCTGCTGGTGGGACTTGTATATACTACAAATGCCTGGTCTGCACTCCAGATAGGGAAGCGAGAATGTCTGGGTGCATGTGGTTATATAAAGCCCCACAGTGGATTCTGATGGGCACCGAGAATGGGGAACAGGACCCAGCCTCTGCTGTCAATCCACCTTGGGCTGGCCTGCCTGCCCTGTGTGCCAATCTCCTTACCACCTCCACTCTTGCCGGGCAGGTCCCTCCACAGGAGGGTGTTCCCTGTTCATCTTCACCACTCCAATTCCTGCCCATCTGTTAAAGCTCGATGATAGCTTCCTCCTTGAGGAGGCTCTTTTGGGCTTATTCAGCCTACAGAACTCTCCATTCATTGGGATCTTTAGCATTTCAAGTCTGAGAACACTCACTCTTGATCAAACTTAATTCTGCCTTATTGTCTCATCTTTCTGCAGACTTAGATTGTGTTCCCAATGGACTCTGACTTCCCAGGTGATAGGTCCATGTCCTGCCCTCCTTCTTGGGCCCCCCTTTCCAAGCACAAACTGAGTACTTACTGATACTTACGGGGACTCTAACCTCATCCTCTGCCCTCCAGGAAGTAGGGCGGCACTCTCCACATCTGGAGCACGTTGCCCTTGTAGTCTACTACAGGGCTTTGGGCCCAGCTTCCCTGCCCTGATAGCAGCCCATTCTCCACACTAGGGAGAAGAGCTGCTTCAGGTAAACTGGACACTCTCACCCTGTGAGGACGGCTAAGTTTGAGGAACAAAATTAATCAGGAGCAGGCCTCCTGGATCTTTCTGTGTGGCAGACTTTTTGGTAAGAGTCCAGGAGCTGTCCAAGGTGCTGGGCTGTCTGTGGTGCTGAGCTGTCCAGGGTGCTAATCGCGCTTTTGCGTGCAGCAAGGGATTCGACTGGTCTGTACTAGACAGACTGCCAATCGTTGTACCTCCCTCCACTCCTTCCCAAAAAGTATTTTCCTACTTAACACTACCCCTGATTGTTCTTCTAGTTTCTATCCCCTTACTTCTTGTAGGTTAAATTGACACTCAATTATTTTGCACTTACTGGTCTCTCTACATGGTTGTACAACTGCACCCAGTCTCCTTTCTTTCCTAAGGGAGCATCTGGAATGGGATTCTGTCTCCCAGAACAGAATGACACATCTCCAAGGGTAGGATTTGGGTCTCATTTCTTCCATCACAGGTTCCCTGAAGGAAGATGGGAGGCTGGCCCTCTCTGATCACACTTGGGGTTTCATCAAGGAATGGACAGAGGGCAGGAGCCACATCTTGTTATAACAGCAAGGGCAGGGACAGCATGAATAAAGAATGTGCTGCATAGGGAAATAAGTGCTAACAGATGTGCTTACCTGGGTAGGGGTGGATGCCATTGGCGAACACAGCTTCTGCAGCAGGTTGCCCATTGGCCTGTGGGGGGAGGCCGGTGAAGCCATTCACCCCAATGGGGGACGGGATGCTAGGCACGGCTGGTGCAGTGATGCCCGGAGGGGTGCTGCCACCTGGGATATTCCAGGGATACGGAAGGGTGAAGGAGGAGGGGAGGCAAGCAGAACAAAGGTGAGGAAGGCCCACCCATAAAGCTCCACTCAACTGTTTCCAAGGACATGTGGATAGACTTGGACCTCACATACCAGCTCAATCTTATCTATGACCCATGCCTTGGCTTATCTCCCTATATGAAGTGACTTCACCTATTCCAGTTGTATCCATCCTTTAAGGCAGAGTCCAAATTCCACCTGCCTAAAGAAGATTTCTCTGACCCTGATCGCTTGTCCTTAGATAGCACATAGACTACTCTCAATGCCCTTGACTGTAATCACACTTGGTCTTCCTTCAGTCCTTTTTTTTTTTTTTTTTTTTGTCTTGCTCTGTTGCCCAGGTTGCTGGAGTACAGTGGTGCAACCTCAGCTCACTGCAACCTTCACCTCCTGGGTTCAATCAATTCTCCTGCCTCAGCCTCCCAGGTAGCTAGGACTACCAGCATGCACCACTAGGCCCAACTAACTTTTGTATTTTTTAGTAGGGTTGGGGTTTTGCCATGTGGGCCAGGCTGGTCTTGAACTCCTGACCTCAAGTAGTGATCCACCTGCCTCGGCCTCCCAAAATGCTGGGATTACAGGCATGAGCCACCATACCTGACCCTCCTTAAGTCTTTTTCAGTGCTCTTACTCTCTCCAGCTAAGGCTGGATGAGCTGGTCTTTACTTGGTCACTGGGGAGCTGATATGCCTCTCCAGGAAGAAGTTTTTCTGCTCAGATGGAGTAGGTCTTAATTCTGGCATTCTCTTGTACTGAGGCAGAGAGGTTGTTATACAGCCCAGACTCAGCTCTAGCTCATACACAAAGAAGACACCTTGGCCTCCTCCAGTTGAAGCAATAGTAGTGGTCATGATGGTGAGAATAAAGTTGGGGTCAAATGACAATATCCTGTGTCCTTCCTATGCCAGGTGGGTGGAACCTGAGATGTGGATATTATGGTGATTGTACTGAAAGCCCAGAGGCTGGAAAGGGCCTTCCTCTCACATAGGAAGCAGGGTCCCTCTGAGAACATGGACCTGAGGCTGGCCCACTGCCTGGGCTCATGTGTATCCCTTGAAGTTGGGGATCAGAAGTGAAGGGTAATGTTCAAGTTGAGCCCATAGATGGCACAGTCTTTTGTGGCTTTCAGCTGGGAAAGGAACATCTCTCGGATGTTAGGAAAGTTGCTGCTGTGGCCTAGGCACAGAGAGCCAAGGAATCTCAGTGAATGAGAGCCTGGGGTGCAGGACCAGCCCTTAGAACTAGACTAGAGTGTCTCAACTTTGACACTATTACCATCTGGGGCCAGATAGTTCCTTGTGGTGGCTGTCCTGTGCACCGCAGGATGTATAGCAATATCCCTGGCCTCTACCCACTAGATTTCAGTAGCAATCCCCACTACCAGTTGTGACAATCAAAAATGTCTCCAGACATTGCCAGATGTCCTGGGGATTCGGGGGCATAACTGCAACAGTTGAGACTCACTGGAACGGACAATAGCCAAGATTCAATCAAAAACATGATTTGTGTGCTGGGTCATTTCCAAACTCCTGCCCCTTGATAACTCTTGTGGTTCTCTCTAGCTTGTTGCATAGTTGTCTTAGAAAAAGCCAGTGAGTCTAGGTTGCGTTAAAGGGAAATGGAAAAAAAAAAAAAAAGCAATACCCAAATGGGTTCCTTCTGTGCTTGGGTCAGGGACTGAACAAGGCCACAAAATGGCCAAGGCTCTTTTCCTCATAGACACTGTAGGGAGATGTCTTCATGTCAATTTCTTTCCAGGTCTCTATTGTTAGTAGAGATCAAGATACATTGTTTCCTGATAAGGTTAAACAGCTTGAGAGAAAGCCACCCCACCCTGAAATCACACCCTAGACTGCATGGGTCCCACATCTCATCTTCCCTTGGATCTTCAGGGATTAGAACATTTCTGAGACAAACTGCCAGAAGGCAAGGTCTCTTGGGCCCAGACACTATGTGCTTTTGCCACAGAATGGTCCGCTGATAGCTGAAATTAGGTCCCAGCCTGGGGCCAGCTGTTCTCCCACCAGGCCAGACCCTGTGTTGGCACCTGCCAGCTCACCTGAGGTTGGGGTCATAGGTGCGGCCGCCAGGCCATTCATGTTGAGGGCCGCCATCTGCTGCATCTGGGCGGCAGCGAAGGCAGCCATGGGGTTCAGGTAGCCGCCCTGTGCGACTGATGCCATCAGGGCCGCTTGCTGCTGCATCAGCTGGGGCAGAGGGAGTGGAAAAAATATCACGTGCTTCCAGGGGGCATCCCTCCCGGACAGGGGCCTCAGCTCCTGGAGACCAACCTCCCAGGCTCTGAGCCCCAGACACCCCAGGCAGTCTCCCACTCCAGAAAGCCCTGATGCCTCTCCATTCTTGCCCTATACCTCAACAGCTATTAGAGTCCACCGCCCTGAGAGATGACTACGTTTAAAAGTAATGCTAGGGTCTTTGGAACTCTAAAGTTGTTGTTAGGGACAGGGAAAGAGGCTGGTTCTGTGGGTGCTAGTCAGCCCCGTGTACGGCCTGTCATTCATGGGGAAGTGACATCCAAAGCACTAGAGACATGCGGGATGAGCCTCTGCAGAACTTAACGTAGCACAGGTTTCTGTCCAGAACGGTTTTAATGTGGAGTCTATAGGTAGAAGTGACAGGAGAATTATGAATAGAACCCCAGGCACTCCTAGTGTTGTCACAAAGGTGAGTGCAGACAGGGGAGGCTGCAGAATGTGGCCAAGGCGGGCAGTGCTGCAGCAGTGACGTAAGCCTGCATTTTCAGACCCAGAACCGTGGCTGGCCTCAGTGCCACCCACATGGGGGCTGTGGTTACCAGTCTGGAGGCAGCTCCAAGAGAGGCTGACAGAGTGGGTCCGCATGTGGAATAAAGAAGTAGGTGGGCCAGAGGCCTGAGGGGATATCGGAAATGTGGGTGTGTAGGGGTTTAGCACGCCTCACAGGAGCCCTGCCAGGAGAGACCAGAAGGCCTGAAGTCCCGTTTCATGGAGTGGGGGTTGTTTGCAACCAATGACCTGAACCTCCCCCTCTCATCTGTGCTTCTCGGGGTTCAACGTTGATCTGGCTGAGGGGAAAAGGCTCAGGGTAACCCACGTTTCTGTGGGGCCTCTCTCAGCTCTGCCCCTTAGAACCAAGACAGCAACCCACCTCCTCCTGGCAGCCACCCCAACTGGGCCAGCCTTCTTTCAAACCCTTCTGAAGTTACACTCCCCGGGTTCATGGGTTCATTCCCGGCCCCTCCTCACTCTGGAGGGAAAGGGCGAGGGATAGAGCAGAATTTTCGGTTATGTGTTCTGCTCTCTGGGGCTCCCAGGGGAGTGAGCTTGAGAACTGCTGCCCGTTCGCGCTGCCACTTACTGCCTGAGCGTAGGCGCCGTAGGCCCCGAACGGGATGGCCATGGGGTTGAACATGCCCATCTGGCCAGCCATCTGCTGCATTCGCCGCATCGTGCGCTCCTTGTCGGTGTCGGCGAACTTGACCACCAGACTGGACGAGGCTCCCTGCGGCCGGGGCGGCGCGTGAGACCCACCTGCTCCAGAGCCTCCGCCCGCAGCTGTCGGTGCCCCTGGCCTGCGCCCACCCCGCCTGCTCCTCGCGGCTCTTTGGAGAGGGCGGCATCGGTGCTTGCCCAGGGGAATGAGGTGTGAACCCCACCGCGGGCATTTTCTACCTGGGTAACCTCAGGCCAGTTCCTTAACATCCCTGGGCCTCCACGTCCTTGTCTGAGACCCGGGGATAAGGGTCATGCTTTCCTGTCTCTTGGGGAGACTGGACTGCCGGCGGGGCGTGGCGGGTGCTGGGGTCGCGGCCCGCCGCTGCCCTAGCCCCCGCCCCAAGGGGCCAGCACTCACCGGCATGGTCTGGCTGCCGTGTAGCGCGTTGATGGCTGCCTGCGCCTCGGCGTGGGAGGAGTACTTCACAAAGGCGCACCCTGCGGGGACGCGAGAGGCCGAGCTGGGACCCAGAAGCAGGGCCAGGGAGGGGCCGGGAGGAGAGGGCGCATCCCAGGTGAACGCAGACGGATGAGGCAGAGATTGAGAAAGAGACACCAAGAAGCCCAGAGACAGACGGCGACGGCCCGGGAGACTCAGAGGCGCCCTCAGGTCTCCCTCCGCCTCGCCCCTCCCTCCCGGGCTTCCCTCCCGGCCCCGCCCCGCGCACCCTTGCTGTTGCCGTCGGGCCCGCGCAGGATGGTGCACTCCTCGATGTTCCCGAAGGCCTCGAAGAGACGGCGGACGTCGTCCTCGGACTGTTGCTTGTTGAGCATGCCCACGAAGAGTTTTCTATCTTCTAGAACAAAATTAGGAGATGCTTACCCGGGCCAGGGACCGGGCTGCGCGGGAGCAGGGCACGGCCGGAGAGGGAGGGCGGCAGGGAAAGGGAGGAGCCGGGGAGGCGGGGCTGGGGTTCGGAGCCGGCGGGGGAGGAGTGCGGGGAGGGGTACGGGAGCAGGGCTTAGTCGGAGCGGGAGGGGCGAGGGGGAGAAGTGGGTGGGGTAGCAGCGCACAGCCGCGGGACAGGTGCGGGGAGAGCTGTGGCAGGCAGGAGCTGGATCGCAGCGACTCGGCCTCTCCCCGCCTGCAGGGCAGGCTGCACCCTGAGGAGCAGAACCCTGGGCTGGCTCCTCACTAGAGCACACGGGCAGCCTGCGTTCCCCTCCTCCCTCCTCTCACGCGCTATCCTCCACAGGCACCAAAATGAATTACAACTGGCAGGTCTGCCGTCGGGCCTTTGCAGATGCTGTTCCCCTGCCTGGAGCGCACTCATCACAAGGTCCAGTCCTTCTCTTCTGCTAGATCTCAGTTTAAGTATTGCCTCCTCGCCCATGCTCCTTCTTACCCCTCCCTTACTCTGTTTCAGCCCCCCATCCCTTGGCCGGAATGTCAAAGGACAATGACTGCTTTGCTTTGCGGTTTTCTGTATAGCTCTCCTTTCCCATCCATTCCCTGGGATGCTCACAGGGGAAAGAGACCAGGTCTCTCTGCTGAAGCAGCAGTGCCTGGAGCATAGGAGGCCCTCCATTCAGTGATGAGGGGAATAAAAAACGAGTGACTGCCCGCCCTGTGCCATCCCAGGGCACACCTCCTTGGTATCTCACATATTTTTTTCCTCCATCTGGATACCCCTTCCTCCTATTTCTTCACGCTGCAAAATTCGACCCTGGGCACTTTGGGGGGACCTGTTCCTGAAGATGCCTCAGCAGCCCCCACACGCCTGGGGCGAGTACCAAGTGCTTTGTTGACCCCACGCTGTGTGCTCAGGGAGACAAGGCACCCTGTATCGACCTGCAGCCGCTGGTGAATGACTGCAGAAGGCACCCCCAGCCCACATGCGGCTACTTCAGTGTGACTGCCACTCCTCTCACTGAGGGTTGGGGGGCGTATTCCTTCCCCTTGAATCTCGGTGGGGCTTGTGACTGCTCTAACAAATAAAGAATGGCAGAAGTGATGCCAGGTGACTTCTGAGGTTGGGTCATAAAAGAGATCAGCTTCCACTTGGCTCTGTTTTGGGGGGCTGTTAGATCTGTGGAAGCCAGCCACCATGCTGTGAACCCCCAATTAGCCCATGCAGAAGAGTCCCCATGGAAAGGAACTGAGGCCCCAGCTGACAGCCAACATCAACCACCAGACATGTGAATGAATGGGTCCTCAGATAATTCCAGCTCCCAGGCTTTGAATTTTCCAGCTGAGGCCCAGACATCCTGGAGCAGAGACAGGCCTTCCATGCTGTGCCCTGTGAATTCCTGACCCACGGAATCCATGAGCAAAATAAATGGTTGTTTTACACCACTCAGTTTCGGGCTAAATTGGTATGCAGCCATAGGAACTGGAACAGAGTCCCAGGGGTGGCTGCACTCAGCAGGCATTCACTAGATGTTTGTGGATGATTACATGATTGACACACAGCCAAAGCTGCAGAAATGCAGACCCAAAAACTGCAAATGGCCATGTGTTCATGGTTTCCTCTGAACACATGGGCACTCAAGGACCCTGTGTCCTTCTGTATCCAAGGTGGTTATTACCTTCTCTCCCAGAGAACCCCCACCTTGCCCAAATTGCCAGGGGAGTTCGCTTAGAGCTGAGGGGCTGTCCCGGGTTCTGAAGCAAAGCAGAGGAAGCTTCCAGGCCCCTGTGCTCCACAAGCCACCTGCAGAGTCCTCCTGCCTTCTGCCCTGCTGGTACTACTCAGTCCAGATGCACTCAACACTGGGCCAGTTCTCCATGATGACATGGTGCCGGGTCCCAGTTCCTTCCACAACCTGTAGGGCACAGTTGCTGGTCCCTGTTACCAGCTGTGGGTCAGAAAACACCAGCTGGCCCTCCAACAGGGTGGGCCTCAGCTAAAGCTCTGGACCCCAGAGCCCCAGCCCCACTTCCTGCCTCAAGCTGCTCTTCTGGCTCCTTTGGCTTGGTAAGACTTTGGGGCACACTCCCACCCCATCTCCGAGGTTCCGCGTGCAGCCTTACCCGCCCCCCCGCCCTCCAGCTCCAGGCTCTGGGGCACAAGGAGAAGGGAGAGAGAGAGGGAGGATGGAAGAGAAAAGCTGAAGTGGGATGGGAGGAGATAGAATTCATCGCAGAAAGGGAGCGGGGGAGAGAAAATGACAGGAAACATAGACAAGAGAATTAGAGGCAAAGAGCTGGGAGAAGAGGGCTGGGGGGAAAGATGACAGAGACAGAGGACAGACTGGGGAGCCCTTATGTTTGACTCCTGGAAGCAGCAACAGCAATTTACTGGAAGTGAAATGGGAGCTTTTCCTTCTTTTGTGGAGTAATTAAAACTCTTCCCTCCAGGCACAGCCCCCAGTGTTCCCCCTACCTCCCCCTCAACCTTTAGTGCCTTTTAAAGGCTCAATTGAATAGGGTTTCTAGAAAGACTTAGAAATGGAACCCCGCCCCTGCTAATCCCTGGCCCTCTTGCTAAAAATTCCACTTCCTCACTTGGACAGAAAAAGGAAAGAAAGGGAAGGCACCTCCTCTGCCCAAGCTTGATTTACATGCGGAGACCGCAGCTCCTCGCCTTCGCCTCTCCTGACGTCTGAATGCATTCCTTTATTATTGCTATGACAGCTTTCTGATTGCATTAAAATTCATCCACATGTGCCTTTCTATCCAGCCACTTCCTTTTTTGCCGGTTTTGGGTTTTTTTGTTTTTTCCTAATTCCTCGTTCCCCTCCCCTGAAATCTCCCTTTACTGTGCAGTTCTCAGTTAAGCGCCTCCTTCTCGAGGCCTTTCTAAACATATAAGCGGCCAGGCTCCCCTCTTCCTCCCCATCTGGATTTCCCCAGGGAAACTACAGCCACCCTTACCTTTCTGGATACCTTGCAAGATACCAAAGAAACCCAGCTTCAGACCCACTTCTTCCAGGTAGTCGTGGATTGACCACACCCAACTCAAATGTCTGCTTCTGGGATCCTCAAATGCGTTCAGTTTGCATCATCCTCCGGTTGGGTATTGTGACTTATACAAGTGATTCTAAGGCTTGTCTCTCAGACCAGGGGCTGAAGGGACTTTGAGTTCACCAGTGGACCTTCTTCAGGGCCAGGCCCACTGACTCCCACTCCGGCTCCCCTGCTCCACACCTGAGTTTTGGGATCTATGAAATGGGTATGGTTAGATGCTTCTGTCATGGTGGTGGCTAGGGTCCCAGTGCCTGCCAAGAGGTCATTACCATGGCAATGGCCCCTACTTGGGTTTCTCCATGCAGGAGGAAGAGGAAATGCAGTGCTGTTTGCCCTTCATTTGCCCTGCCTTGCTTTGGCCTGGAGGGTCACCCCTACTGTGAGGGGGCAGAGGTCAAAGAGGGTGAGAGGAGAAGTCAGAGGATCCACATTTCACGATGGGGAGCACACTTGAAGCAACAGGTTGGACTAGATTCTGAGGCTGTGGCTGACCAGCTGAGATGGATGACATCTCCCTGTCTCCCACCCCCTCTGCCCACCTCCTTTCTGGCCACTTTCCTGAGGCACTGTCTCAGGCTGCATCACATAACCAACGCTACCATTTGGCTGGTGTCTTGAGTCTGATGCCAATTTTGCAAGTCTTGGAGAATGACTCAGTTTTCCCAGCCCGTGCCCATCCTTCTCCATCCACACAGCCCCTGATCCCTGGTACAGGAGAGCAGGCCCTGATCGCTGCCCAGCTGCCTGAGCTGGGACCCCTGGTAATGGAGAGGCTCTGGTGGCCCCCCTGTTCGGGTGAGCCCTCAGCCCTGAGGCTGTTGCTTCCTGTAGTTGGGGTATTGGGGAACTGCCCCTCTGAAGAGATGTTCAGGCAGGTGCTGCTGGACTGGGCCAAAGTGGTGAGGCAAGGAGTGGCCTCAGAGTTAGTGAGGGGATGGGCTGAAGAGTGACTGAGAGGTCACTGAGACCCCTGGGGGCGCAGAGATGTGATGAGCAACTGGAGGCTGGCACTGGGAGCCCAGAATTCTCTTGACAGAGCCCAGCTCAGGTCAGAGGCTCAGCCCTGGAAGTTGGAAACTGAGCACAACAAAATCTGCTGACCTAGGCTGAGGGGACGGAGGCCTCATGGGTTCCTCCTGGTCAAGGGGCAGAGCAAGGGAAGCATATTCTACAGTCTCTCAACAGCTGTTCACTGAGCGCCTTCTCCGTGCCAGACACTGTTCCAAGCATTGCGTCTACAGCGGTAAACAAGAGAGACGAAGCTGCTCATCGGAGCTGGCATCCGGGTGGAGAGACAGGCCATCCACAATACACAAGTGCCCAAACAAGACAAAGGCCAGCAGAGCTGCCACACTGTGGCCCCAAGAACTGCTGTCCTTGCACCTGAAAGAACAAGGCCATCGAGTGGCAGAACTGGGCAGGACCCCGGATAACACCAAGGGTTTCATGCTTTTTCAGACGAGGAAAGTGGGGCAGAGAAGGAGCCCCAGGATGCACAGGAGGTTGCCCATAGCTGGAGCCTGGACTCAACCCAGCCTCACGGGGTTCCTTGATTTCATGATCACAAAGCCCTTGCTGCTGCAGTCTGCTCTTTTAAATCATGTCTGTGCCTGCAGGTGTGAGGGAGCATCTGGGGTTCTGTGGAACAGGAGTGTGACTCCCCAAAGGGCTGGGCAACAGGAGGTGGGTGCTCATCCAAGCCCTGCCTGGACCCAGAGAGGGCAGCTTGGCTCTTTGTCCCCAGATGTCTAACCATCATGGGGGAGTAGGCAGAGTCTGTACTTACCACCCCACCTGTGCAGGAGCTGGGGCTGGGGGAAAACGATAAAATTGTGGACAGGAGAAAGCCCCAGTTCTGTGTCAGGTGAAGGTGCTTACAGCCAC